GTGTGTCCTGCGAGGAGCCATAGTAATATGCCAGTTGAAATAAATTTTAGAAAAATATTAAAAATTCCTAGCATGAGGGTGGGTGGCAGGCAGGCAGGCAAGCAAGCTCAGGGAAAAGCCTCAGCTGCAACAGTTTTAAAGCCCATGTAGTCCTCTCATCCAGTATACAACACGGTTTAACAATGAATTGAAAGTTTTCCCAAGAGGACACACATACCAACCCAAACACCATGTGACTTCAACTCAATTTCAAAAAACCCTGATATAGCTACTGATTCATTTTCCTAGTGCAACCATATTACCAGAGGGCTAGGGAACACTTGGTGACTAGACTTTCAGGAGCCATAGAGGATTGCAGTTTAGAGGAGAGAGGGATAACAGCAGCAACAACAACAATCTTTGAAGTGCAGAGCTGGAAGGGACCCTATGGATCATCAAGTATGGCCCCTCTCAAGGAGACACAGTGGGGAATTGAACTCCCAGCCTCTGGCTCTGTGGCAAGATACCTCAAACCATTAAGCTGTGCAGCATGTTTTGTTTCACAAATAAAAGTACACTAGCATTTAGGCTATTGTGTGCATACACACATACACATATGTAAAATTCTCAAGAATTCACAGATCTATCTCTGGTTTTCCATTTAAAGCATTAGGTACCTCAATAAAGAACTTCAGAAGGGTTCAAGCTGTAAAATAGAATCGAGCCCAAGAAAGTGAAAAAGAGTCTGGCATGGCTAAGAAGCATACAAGTTATGAATGTACAGAATTTTTGATATAGGTGAACATATAGGTTAATTTTTAAAGTTCCTTGAAAATGAGGTGGGACCTAGCTAGGGAGATATTTTTGATTTTTAAATGTGTGGGTGATCCAATAAGCATCTATTTATTTTGACAAGGATCACAGAAGATGGTGCTTTCCCTTCTATATACCTAAGGTGACTTGAAAGAACATTTTTCATTCTACAGCAGAATGAACAAATGAAATAAATGTTGTTTTATTACCTTTTGCATTAAAAACAAATTGTTTCTGATTTACCAGCTAGCACAATAGAAACTTCTGCACAAGTTCTTCCACCTAGCAGCCAGGAAATTCCCTGTACCTTTCTGTTTCCATACAACTGGTCATTGTTAAACCATAGCAACAGGAAAGGCTAAATTTAGACCTGTTGTTTGTATTTGATCTATTTAATATTGGAATGGCAAAAAAGAGACCTGTGGTTATTGAGATAAAAATGACACTGAAGAGGAATTGGCAAATAGACCAAACTTTGCAAGTTCCAGCTAAATCCATGTATCATTCATGTGTGATAAGAGATAAGAAGATAGGTAACTGTGGTTAAGCAAATATAGAAAAGGGTAAGGACACACAGTACCAGTTCATAGAAAACAATCTGCATTGCATGACTAAAATAACTTGTTCTAAAAGACAGAATTAATGGGATCACGGCTCCTTGACTAAACAGAATGGCATAAATAAATTCAAGGGTTTATCTGTCTAGAGCTGGAACTTGGCCTAGTTTTGTCTACAAGGCCATGAACCAGACACTTTCTGCCAAACACTTTGTTTGTTCTTTTACTGTCATAAGAGGAAAATAGCACAGCACATTATCGAGCAGGGAACACAGAGCTGAGGACAGGATAAATTATAATAAAAGGTAAAGGTTCCCCTTGACAATTTGTCCAGTCATGTCTGACTCTAGGGGGCGGTGCTCATCCCCATTTCCAAGCCATAGAGCCAGCCTTTGTCCATAGACAGTTTCTGTGGTCACATGGCCAGCCAACTAGACACGGAATGCTGTTATCTTCCCACCGTGGTGGTACCTATTTATCTAGTCACATTTTTACATACTTTCAAACTGCTAGGTTGGCAGTAGTAAATTATAATAATTCTTCATAAAACCTGGTACATATATATAACTATGTATATGAAAGTCTCTCCCTAACTCTCTGTGTGTGTGTGTGTGTCTGTGTCTGTGTGTGTTATGTGCTGATAAGTTGGAACTAACTTATAGCAACCTTAATGGAGCTTTCAAGCTGAGATATTTAAGGAGTGCTATTATCAGTTCCCCAGGCTGGTTTCAATGGCCAAGTGAGGATCTGAACCCTGTTCTCCAGAGTCCTAGTCCATCACTCTATCCACCCCCCCCCCCACACACACACCCCACATTTGGAAGGGAGTCTATAAGGCCCTTTAATTCATTGGTGTGTTGTTTTGCTATTGGTGCCAAGGTACATCTAAGCAATTATACTTCTGAGGTTATAGCTTCTTGGATCACATCTTACTTGAATATATTGGAGGAAATCTGAAGTGGCATTAGAACTGCTACATTGTCAGGTGAAGAAATTGGGGAGGAATGGTGGCAACCAAGACAGGTTTGAGGAGTTAACTTACTACTGGTGATGACACCAGTATTGTTCCTTTAGAAAATATGTATCTTTGGGCCAGGAATTGTTGTCACTATTTTTATGCCTTTGGATGGGCTCCGCAAAGAGCCTTCTTATATTGGCCCTGCTATGTTGGACCTTGGTTTGCATAAACATTATATGTGTGATTTGGGAGGGTTGCCGTATTCTAGTCTTTCCCAAAGTGTGTGCCGCGATGTTTGGGTGTGCTGCCGAGCCTCCTGAGGGGCACCATGGAAGAGAGAAGGGAACACAGAGCAGAGTCTCTGCCCTCCAGCTTTAGCTCCCCCACAGCACTTGGCAGTTCCAATCCCGGCCACCTCCGTGGGCTGCGTTGCTCTTGCCTCTCCTGGCCACCCTGGAGCTGCCTGTCTCTGACCTCACCCAGCAGCTCCATCCAGCCATGGCTCTATCAATCAGTGGGCCATGGAAAGCGGGGCTCATGGGAGGAAGGCGCCCCATCATTATTGCCACCCTCACAAGAGGTTGCTCAGGCCAGATCCACATGCATCCACCTACCTACCTACCTACCTACCTCAGCAGGCAAAGGGCCTGAGCCACTAGGGGTAGGGATGGTCAGGGGCAAGAGCCTCCCTTTCTGGCTCTGTCTCCTTGCAAGGTGCTGTGGCCTGGAGGTTGCCCTGAGGAGGAGGAGGTGGCATCTCGCCTGCCTACTTGAGACTGAAGGCCCAGGTGAGCGGCCAGGAGCTGAACCCAGGGAGGAAGATGAGCTGCATACGAGGAAAGGGCACCCCATACCCAGGGTCAGGGAGGAAAGGGAGCCGCAAGTTGAAAAAGTTTGGGAACCACTGCAATATTCCATTTCCCCAAATGATGTCAGCCTCTTCTGCATTGATACAGACTGTTTTCTAATTCAAATGTTTGCTTCGGGAATTATTTCCAAATCAGATCTCTGATTTTCCAGTCCAAACCAATATTGAGCATATCTTACATACTTTATAAGTTACATTTGTATAATCTTAGAGTAGGCATCTAGCCTATGGCCCTATTCAATGCAGAGCATCCAGAGCAGGAGTATTCAAACAGATTGCTGAACAGTCTCTACTCGAAGACTTCCAGCAGGAGACAACCTACACCTAGCATTTGGTTCCAACATCAAAGTGTTCTTATCACTAAGACTTTTTCCTAATGCTCAGCCAGAATCTACTCTCTTGTTTCTTCATATGATCTTGCCCTCTGAATTAGCAGAGTACCATTGTTTGCCATATACTATGTGACTGCTTCTCTGGCATTTAAAGTATGCCAGCATGGTTATTTTAGAAGGGGACAGATGTGATCAATGCACCACATGTGACCCCACTGCCTGGGGAGTTTTTTAGCCTCTGCACACCCACAATCACAGTTGTTATATGATGACAGGGCAGTTGCCACAGAGGGGAAATCTGGTATTCACCCTCAAAACAAGGCGCATGAGGAGCACACACGAAACCTTATTTATTTATTCAACCTATTCAGATAGGATTTATTTTCCATACACTTCAATCAATTCTAATATGTTTGTAGTCATTTCAGTGACTGGATTCCCCCNCCCCGCAGCTCCAGTGGCTGATTGTAAATCAGTCTGGTTCTGGTGACTGTACAATCCAAAACTGAATTTTAAATGAAATCATACATACATACATACATACAGCACCAATATTTAACAGATAATTTTTTTGTTAAAACTTTTATCTGTTATAGAATACCAGTCAGTGAATGTTTTTATAATTTTGATTGATTGTGCCTGGCATCATCATCATCATCATCATCATCATCATCATCATCATCATCATCATCATCATCATCATCATCAATTTAAAAAAAATTGTTGTTGAATGTTCACAGTGAACTAATACATATTTCTGAACATTTTATTTTTAGAGTTTCATTTGTGGTTGATATCCTGCATTGTATTGATCCAGTATTCTCCATTATTCCCTAGGCTGTTAATTTCTGGTATGTCCTGGTGATGAATGATGAGCACACAGATCAACGCTATTTGATGTTTTTTCTTCTGGGTTGGGGTCTTCCCGCTTTTGTTGTGATTCTACTTTTAATTATCCTGAGAGGAATCTATCATCACAGCCTGTCACAGATCTATGGCCTGGTCTACCACGATCTGTAAGTATATATGAGGTTGGGGTGGAAGCAAACACTGTACTGAATAAAGATGTTGGTTTTATCTGTAGTCTGGAGTACAGCCTGCCCATGTTTAGTGTTCTCCAGATGTGTTGTGTGGTGATGTCATAAAAGTGGTTTTCCCAGGAGGAGACTCATCCATTGCACTTTGGGTGTGCTGCTGATCCCTGTGATTTCCCCAAATGTGGGGAACTCAACTGCATAATTTGTGTTAATGGGGGATTGCCCTTGTGATTTCCCTGGTTTTTCTAGATTCCTTTTCATCTCTTTTTCTCCTCATTAGGACCTATTCCAAAGGCAGCAAGTCCTGGTGATGTCTTATATTGCTTTCTTCCTCTTTTTCTCCCCTGTGGTAAAGGATTAAGGCAAAAGGAGTCATCATTCTCAGGAACCAGGGGGCTGTTTTGACTCCTTTCACCCTCTTTCTTTGCTAGAGAGAGAAAGAGGGGTTGGCCGTCTGAGACCCACTGCATTTCCAAAGGCAGTGTAGGTGAGGGGATTGCTTTTCCCCAATATGGTATAGGGAACTGTGTTTTGCAAGACGATGTCTTCTATGGACAATTTTCACAAGACAGTGATTCCCCCCCCCATTGAATCACATTAAATAGATTTCAATGCATTTCAATGGGGAACTGGGTTTCGCAAGACAATGTTTTCGCAAGACAGCAATTTCCCGCGGAACGAATTAAAATTGTCTTGCGAGGCACCACTGTATTAAATTGTAAAGTGCGTAATACAAGTGCCCTCATAAGCCTCATGACCTGTTCAGATCTGGATGACATGTTATTAATGACACACACTACTGTCATATTATCGCACCAGAATCTGACTACTGAATTGGCCCATTCCTCAGCCCATAACCAAGTGGTGCCGAGAATAGGAAAAAAAGCTCTAGGAATGTCAAATCCCTGGTCAGGCCTGACCCTTTGCCTTTCCTCATGTCAAGTCCCTGCACACCAGCGACCCCCGAAATAGATGCCAAAACCTAATGACCCTGCAGCATCTGTTTGAACTTGGAATTCATTCTGGAGGTGTAATTCCACTCTCCAGAATGAAACTCTGTTAAAATTGTCCAAAAATTGTTGCCATGTTTTCAGATCTTGTCTCATGCCTGCTGTAATCATAGTTCTATGGAACGGTTTGTGGAGACCCTTCATGGCTGCAGAGAGTCTGCACAAAAAGGTCCTACCAGGGGCAATTGCAGTATAAGCAAAATTCAAATGGCCCACTGTTTCCTGTAGCTCTCTTAGGATGGCCTTCTTCTGCCTCAATAGACCCCCCAGCCTGGCCCACAAGTCAACCAGCTTTTTGTCAGGAAGTTTGCAGTATTGGTGGCAGGTATCCAACTCTACAACCAAGAATGTGATGTTAGGCGTTAGCCCTTCCGTTTTCTCCTCAGCCAAAGGAAGCCCAATCTCTTGAGCCAATTTCTCAAAAGTCTCCATCAAGCACCTACAATTGCCAGAATCCTTTACACCACAAAAAAGAAAATCATCTAAATAATGCCCTACATCTAAGTTCCCATTCCAAAAAATGAATGGAATGCGCTCAAATACTGCACAGGATACTGAGCAACCCATGGGTAATGCTCTACCCACAGAAAAGGCACCCTCAAAGGAAAAAAACCTAACAACTCAAAATTCTCTGGGTGAACTGGCAGGAGATGAAAAGCCGATTTTATGTCAGCCGTGGCGATCTCTGCCACATGCCCTAATCATGCGCACTGCCTGAAATGAAAAGCTGATTTTATGTCAGCCGTGGCGATCTCTGCTACATGCCCTAATCATGCACACTGCCTCGTCAAATGAAGTATAACACACAGTGCAAAGCTCCTGTGGTATGCCGTCATTGACAGAGTCACCTTCTGGGTAAGAGAGGTGATGTATGAGCCTGAATTCACCTGGGGCCTTTTTAGGTACTAGCCCCAAAGTAGACACTCTGAGATGCGGGACTGGTAGTTGAACAAACGGACCTAACACTCTGCCCTCTTGGACCTCCTTCTCAATTTTTTGTCTATTTCCTCCGTACCTTGAACAGACTTCAAATTGTTGGCAAACGTTGCCTTGCATCTTCCCAAAACTGGGATATGAAAACCTAACTGAAACCCATCAAGTAAATATGCTGTCACTTCCTTTAAAGGGTAGTTAGCCAACAAAACTGTAAGGACCTCCAATTTAATAGGGCTGGGCCCCTTCTGTCGCACCAGCCGCTCCATCAGGCTTTCCTGTTACTGCCTTGTTCCTTGCCGACCCCTTTTGGTTTCCTCCCATTAAAACATTTCAAACTGGAGTGGGCTCCACCACAGGTGGCACACTCATGCCTGTATTAGCATGGTTTCCTGGAACAGGAACCCCATGAACTGAAGTCCCAGCAGAGCAGGTGGGGTTGAACCACCTACCCTGCTCCAGCATGGGAACTGTTAGCCTGCCCTGTCTTCCTGATAAGATGGCCACTGTCGAATTTCTTACCCTGCAGTGGCTGGGCAGGTATCATGGTTTGAAGCCATAAGCCCAGGTGAGGTTCATCCCAACACATGTTTGTGTGTATTGACGATCTCATATGGAATTTTGATCTTAAGTCAGCCATGAATGATCTGGGAAGTCGATGTAGGCCCTGTATATCAGGTCCAAATACTGAAATAAAAACAGTACATGCCAAGGTTGTGTCTTCACAATTATACCTGCAGAAATCAAAAATCCTGGCAACCAATTGGCCCAGGTGTGCCCTAGCTTTTTGGGCTGCCTCCTCTCTTTCTCTGCCTTATCCTCCTTCTCTCACTCCTTAGCATCCATGTTTCTATTTAGTGATTCAAATAAGTCTATGTATTATCCTTCCATTTACGCTTCTTCATAACTGGTGTCAAGTGATCATCTATAGGGAGAGCATAGTCTTCAAAAAGCAAAGCCCTTAGGGGAACGGAATTATACCCAGTGTCAGATACAGAAGGGTATGGCCAAACCCCAACTCTCACTGATGCCCCTGTAGGGGTGAAGAAAGGTGTTGGGGGATAAGGGCCCCGCCAGGCGCCAGCGGATGAATCCAAAGGCATCTGACTTGCTGTCCAGCCCTGCACTTGTGTTCCCAACCACCATGGCCACATTGGCAGGGCTCCACTAATGTCCGGTGCAGCATCGAGCTCACCTGACGTTTGAGTAGCAGCTGAACGTCAGCTGGTTGATGGCCTTTCATTATCCGACCTACTGTCCTCAACCATTTCCTGCCTCTGGACCACATTATTGCCCGGCATGCACGTGTGTGTTCAGTTCTCAACCTGGCTGATCAATTCTGCTGGCTGGCCTTCCCGTGATGAATCTGCAACTCCCAACACATCTTACACAACAGCCTCTAAAGCAGCAAAATGGGACAAAAGATTATCAGCAAGGGCTTTCAGTTTAGCACATTTGTGTGCCTAGGACTCCCTTGTTGAGCGCCTAGGCTGATTGTCCTTAGCCCCATTACATGCTTGGTTAGACTTCTGCTGCTCCAATGCTGCTATTTTAGCTCGTATTTACTCCCACACAGGCCACCCTTCCTCGTCTGATGATGATGATACAACCGGAGGGGACACCCTGGGAGCCTTGCACTTTGCAGGCTGTTTGCCTTCACTATTGCCCTGACCCTTTTTGGAGGCCATGGCTGCTAACAAAAGCTCTTACTAAACAATCTACCCACTAGCCAGGCAGCCAACCCTTGCTAACGTGCTCCAGTTGTAAAGAACACCCTACGTTGTACCGTTATTGTTTGCCTATTTATTTAGCTATTAATTTATAATAATAATTCTCTTTTTTTAATACAAGCACCTTCGCTATTGCCCTGACCCTTTTTGGAGGCCATGGCTGCTAACAAAAGCTCTTACTAAACAATCTACCCACTAGCCAGGCAGCCAACCCTTGCTAACGTGCTCCAGTTGTAAAGAACACCCTACGTTGTACCGTTATTGTTTGCCTATTTATTTAGCTATTAATTTATAATAATAATTCTCTTTTTTTAATACAAGCCCTCAGGAGTAGCTAACCAACAACTGGTAGTTGCTCCAATGCAACTATTCCTGTTGTTATTACAATCTTATTTAATTTTAACTTGAACTTCTGTATTTAGTTATTTAGTTGTTTATTTAATTATTGAATGTGCGTGCACGCATCTGTAAGCTTGCCACTTCCAATTAAATTTAAAGAACCCAACAAACACACAACAACATAATTACCCGTGTGTATGGGGGGCATAACTCTGTCCCCCAACTGCCTTTAGTGTGTGTTTGTGGGGTGTGTGTGTTTCCCTGTCCCCCTTAACCACCCCCTTAGTCCTGAAGCTTATGGAACCCTTTTTCCACTTGCTCCTATTTATGATTTTATTTTTAAAAAATACATAGATTTCTTGTTGTTCTCCAATTCCTTCTGCCTTTTTCTTTCTTTCTTTTTAAAACAAAATGGCTGTAAGCAAGCTCCGCCAGGGATCAAAGCTGACCCCTGACACTACACTCCAACCTTGGGGAGTGCCGATGCACCCTCCACAGCTCCCTCAACACCGTTGGCTGCTATGCAGCAAAAAAATCCCTGCAGAGTTGAACACAGCCACTGCCAGGGAACGCAAGCCTCAAAAGAGGCCGAGCACGTGGGGCAGCATCCTTTTAAGGACACTCCCCATCCCCCAGGTAACTACAAGAATAGTGTGAGTTACCCTATACCGAGAGGAGGGCAAAGGAGCTCCACTTGGCAACCAGCACCAGTGGAGCCAACATCCTCATTGCAGGAACACATGCAATATAGATCACACCGAATGAAAAGGACAGGGCATTGTAGCTATCCATTAAAATTTATCCTGTTCGTAGACATAGATATTTTGTTAACTGCGAAGTTCACTCAAATGCAATGCACAAACACAAAGGCATGGGCAGTATCAGGGAGTTCCTGAGGGTTAAAATTAAAGGGGGGGGGGAAATCTTGCACAATTGATGGTTTGCTTTTTCACTTTAACAAGGACTT